CTGTTCCTGACTTCACCTGACTCCCTGCCCTGCACCCAGCTTCAGCTACTACGGACTGCCTCCACGTTGCACCTTTGGCTACGGACTGGACTTGGACCTCTTGGGTAACCCACGGGACCAGGACAATGGGGAAGGAGGGAGAACGGATTGAAGAGAGGTGAAAATGGCGGGGACCAAAGCCTGACTGCTGACTCACCCTTACCGTGCGAGGAAGAAACCAGAAACAATGAAAAAAAATTAGGCCCTTTGGGGATGTCTATTTCTTTTTGTGTATCTTGTTGGTGCGTAAGCATAATTAAAGCAAAAACAATATGTTTTTCGGGTTGTTGGTTTTTTTTTTTTGTATTCTCATTTTATATTGTTACGTTGTGAACCGCCCTGTGATCTTTGGATGAAGGGTGGTATAGAAATTTAATAATGAATGAATGAATGAATGAATGCTCTCCCCAGGGAAACATTCATGGCACCCACACTGTCAGCCTCAGATACCAGGCTGAGAAAGATGTTTAGGTAGGCTCATTAATTGATATTAGATTAATATCTGCTATGATGGTTTATTTTGTTCAATTAACTAGCACAAAATACAAAATCTAGAATCTAATACTAATTTTCTTCTTAACTATAAGGATTTTGGTCAATATATTCAAAAATTGCACAGTGCTAAAACAGACCAGTACATGACCAGTACTAATTAACTGATCAGGAATAGGCCTGCATAGCCTGTGTTCTGTTATTTGCGGCCAATCTGGACATTATGTTAAATATATTTTTTTAAATTGTGAAAAGTCCAGTAGCACCTTAGAGACCAACTAAGTTTGTTCTTGGTATGAGCGTTCATGTGCTCATACCAAGAACAAACCTAGTTGGTCTCTAAGGTGCTACTGGACATTATATATATATATATATATATATATATATATATATATATATATATATTCTACTACATCAGACCAACACAGCTACTTACCAGAATCTAGAACTAAGTATATTCAGAAATGGATAGTGAACAGCACTACCTTGGCTCTTTGCAGATACGGGATCCTTTGACTTCTAGTTGCCATGCCGCTGCGTTTGCTAGCTGAGCTCTTGCTTTGTTTAGAGACACCAGGGTTTACATGCAAGGAATTTCTCAGAATAGGACTCAGAATGCCATATTCTCCAGCATTCCCCAACATTCTTATTTCATGCAATTTTGTATTAGGGAAGTAATAGTGCCACTGTATTCTGCTCTGGTCAGACCTCACCTGGAGTACTGTGTCCAGTTCTGGGCACCACAGTTCAAGAAGGACACTGACAAACTGGAATGTGTCCAGAGGAGGGCAACCAAAATGGTCAAAGGCCTGGAAACGATGCCTTATGAGGAACAGCTAAGGGAGCTGGGCATGTTTAGCCTGGAGAAGAGGAGGTTAAGGGGTGATATGATAGCCATGTTCAAATATATAAAAGGATGTCATATAGAGGAGGGAGAAAGGTTGTTTTCTGCTGCTCCAGAGAAGCGGACATGGAGCAATGGATCCAAACTACAAGAAAGAAGATTCCACCTAAACATTAGGAAGAACTTCCTGACAGTAAGAGCTGTTCGACAGTGGAATTTGCTGCCAAGGAGTGTGGTGGAGTCTCCTTCTTTGGAGGTCTTTAAGCAGAGGCTTGACAACCATATGTCAGGAGTGCTCTGATGGTGTTTCCTGCTTGGCAGGGGGTTGGACTCGATGGCCCTTGTGGTCTATTCCAATTCTATGATTCTATGTAATTGAGAAGTAGAACTTGGTGCAAGCAGGAAGAGCTGAGATTTCAACTTAGGGCAGTGTTTCTCAACCTGTGGGTCCCCAGATGTTGTTGGACTACAACTCCCATCATTCCTAGCCAGCATGACCAGTGGTCAGGGATGATGGGAGTTGTAGACCAACAACATCTGGGGACCCACAGGTTGAGAACTGGATTAAGGGCACTGTGGGGCATTGCTGGGCACTTGAACAAGGACCCTCCCACTGCATGGTCATCATACTGCAAGTTATTGCTGCTTGCTCATCCAGCTTTTCCCTTCAGTGATAGAGGAAGCAAGCAAGTGTGGACAAGGGAGAAAGAACATTTGTTGTCATCTGCTCATTCACTTCTTGCCTGTTGCCTGGACAGGTGAGTAGGCAATGGTGGCTGGAGAACAACAGAACGAGGGGATGGACATAGAATCAATCTATACCCAACCTGAAATACCGTAATTTACTGAAAGTTTTTTGGGGGGCACATGTCAAAGAGTTCTCTCCTCCCCACTTATAACAATGTATAAGGATCCTCAGGAGAAAGGTTGAGATCCCTTGTCTGAGGAAATGAAGTTAAAATCAGGGGTTGGCGAGGAGGGGTTGGAGTCAGGATAGGCAAGTGGAAGAGAATCATGGTCGGGGCAGAGTTTGACAGGATTTGACAGGGTGTGTGCAGATTATTAGGAGCTCCAGGGTCAGTCACAAAACAACATGTCCAGAGGGTGGCAACAAGAGAACGGGCCTTTTCCACAGTGGCTCCCCAGAGTCGGTCACGACTGGACCTAATGGCCAGGTGTACCTTTACCTTTATCTGTGGTGGCCTGGAGGGCAGGGCAAAGGCAGCGGACTGGAAGTGAGCAGTTTTCACTCCAGTCCACTCCTAAAGAAGAAAAGGGGACTTGCACTGAAATCAAGCAGCGCAGTTTGCCCCAGAGCATCACCCCCCCCCCGAGCCCTCCCTGTACTTGAATCTTTTCTTTTAGGCTCACCTTTCCCTTTCTAGGTTCCTGGGCGATGGTTGCTGTCTTTCGGAGCAGGGAAGGGATTTCCCCTGCTCCGCATGTTTCCCCCTCCCCATAGCAATTGTCACAACTTTGGCGGTTTTAGGTCTTGGGTGGAATCCTTTAGCCCTATATTCAGTGAGGGGTTGATGTGGCGAGTCATCCCTTCTCAATATCAGGTTCCCCATCAAAGGGGTCTTGAGGGGAGCAGGGACGGAGCAAAGTGGGTGCAACACACCCCGGGTGTCATCACCTAGGGGGGTGATATTCGGCGCGCCGCCTGCCCACCTCTTGCCTACCCCAAAAGCTCAACAGCAATGACAATCACAGCCAGTATTTTCATACAGTGGTACCTCTGGATACAGGGTATCAGGATATTAGGGACGCAGGTGGCGCTGTGGGTAAAACCTCAGTGCCTAGGACTTGCCGATCGTATGGTCGGCGGTTCGAATCCCCGCGGCGGGGTGAGCTCCCATCTTTCGGTCCCAGCTCCTGCCCAACTAGCAGTTCGAAAGCACGTCAGAATGCAAGTAGATAAATAGGTACCGCTTTATAGCGGGAAGGTAAACGGCGTTTCCGTGTGCAGCACTGGTGCTGGCCACGTGACCCGGAAGTGTCTCCGGACAGCGCTGGCCCCCGGCCTCTTAAGTGAGATGGGCGCACAACCCTAGAGTCGGACATGACTGGCCCGTACGGGCAGGGGTACCTTTACCTTTTACCTCTGGATACAAACGGGATCCATTCCGGAGCTCCTTCGTAACTAGTGATGGCACGCCTGCGCACGTGCGCGTCACTTTTCACCGCTTCTGCACATGTGAGGGGGTCATTTTGAGCATCTGTGCATGCTGCGAAACATGGAAGTAACGCGCTCCGTTACTTCCGAGTTGCCGCGGAGCGCAACTCAAATGCGCTCAAGCCTAAGCGCATTCAACCCAATGTATAGTAGATCGCAGTCCCTTGGGAGTCCAACTGGATTTCAATGGGGGTGGGGGTGCGTGACAAGAAATTTTCTGCACTGGGTACCACCTGACCATGCTATGCCACTGGAGGGGAGTCTCTGGCCACAAGTGCACAGCTGTGGGTCACAGTCCTCCCCTCATCTGTGGGCAGTGGCGTAGCGTGGGGGGTGCAGGGAGGGCCGGCCGCACCGGGCGCAACATCTGGGGGTTAGGGTTAGGGGGCGCAAATCCACGGGTTAAAGGTAAAGGTAAAGGTACCCCTGCCCGTACGGGCCAGTCTTGACAGATTCTAGGGTTGTGCGCCCATCTCACGCAAGAGGCCAGGGGCCAGCGCTGTCCGGAGACACTTCCGGGTCACGTGGCCAGCATGACATCACTGCTCTGGCGAGCCAGAGCCGCACACGGAAACGCCGTTTACCTTCCCGCTGGTAAGCGGTCCCTATTTATCTACTTGCACCCGGGGGTGCTTTCGAACTGCTAGGTTGGCAGGCGCTGGGACCGAACGATGGGAGCGCACCCCGCCGTGGGGATTCGAACCGCCGACCATGCGATCGGCAAGTCCTAGGCGCTGAGGCTTTTACCCACAGCGCCACCCGCGTCCCACAATCCACGGGTTAGGGGGCGCAAATTACTTGCCTTGCCCCGGGTGCTGGCAACCCACGCTACGCCACTGGCTGTGGGGCTAAAGGGGGCCAGCTGTGTAAATGCACCTTGTGCAGTGTCCAGTTCCTGTCTACACGCCCAGGTTTCCTACAAGCGAAATTGAACAAACTTGTGGCGATTTTAATCCCGCAGAAGATGCCGTCCTGTGTTTGCCTCCTGCCTCCCTGAGGGACTGCGCCTGGGCAGGCAAATGGGGAAACAAGCCAACAAACTTTGAAGGGGCAGGATGCGTCTCTCGAGGCACGTTTCTGGCTGGGGTTGCGATTGTACCGTGTGTGTCTGTCTGTGTGTGTGTGTGTGGTGTTGTTGGCGACTTGGCTTGGGTGGGGAAGCGCCGACCCTGTCGCCCCCCCCCCCCAGCCCAGTTCCTCACAGGAAACCTCCTTTTGTGTCACCCTGAGGAGAAAAAGAGAGAGGGAGGGGGGGGGGCCAAACCCCGCGTTGTTTTCGCAGGAGGCGGACAGGAAATGACCCCTTGACGGCGCCTTGAAAAACAAGCTCCCCGCCAGCCTCGCGCCAGCCTCGCCCCCGCCTCGCCGGGCTGCCCGCCTCGCCCGCGCCCGCCTTCCCCTCCCCGCCCGCCGGCCTCGCTCGCGCTCCCTCCCCGCGCGGGGAGCAGCAGCAGCAGCAGCAGCAGCCGCCCGCCCCGCGCAGCCCATGTGCTCGGCGCGGCTGTCGGCTGCTGCCGCCGCCGCCTCCCGCGCGCCCTGAGCCTCGCCGGCGAGCGGCGGCCAAGATGTCGAGCGCGGCGCCGCACGACCCCTTCTATTCTTCGCCCTTCGGCCCCTTCTACCGGAGGCACACGCCGTACATGGTGCAGCCCGAGTACCGGATCTACGAGATGAACAAGAGGCTGCAGACTCGCACCGAGGTGAGTCCCCCTTCTTCTCTCCATCCTCCGGCTGGGGAACTCGGCGCGCCGCTCTCCGCCCCAGGGGCAGCGGCGGCGCCTCCCGGGCACTGGAAGGGGCCACCCCCTGCTCCTGTGCGGCGCAACTCTTTGCAAAAAAGCGCAGGCTGCACGGTGGGGGGAAATGCAAGGCAGCCCGCGAGACGGCTGGCTTTCAAATGCCCCTTTTGTGCAAGCGCGCAGGTTGGGGCCAGGTAACCTGACCTCTCTTTTTGGGGCATTTGCAATCGCAGCGTTCTCGAGGTGTCGCGTGCATTGAAGGAACGTGTGTGTGTGTGCCGTGCGCGCGTGTTTAAAAACAAACAAACCACGTTTCGGCGGCGGTGGATGTTACCTGCACTTCTTCCCACCCTGGTTATCAGCACTGAGCCAACGAAGGCAGAAAAGAGGGCTAGAGTTGGACAAACTTATTGCCTTATGCTGATGGCAGATGCACACAGACCCTTCCATGTGTCTCTATTTTCCAGGGATTTAGAGAAGCCGTCCTGGTTTCTGATTTGATCCAGGAATGTCCTGCTTTTCCTTCGGATGCCCCTGTTTTTACTGGAGAAATGTTGGAGGGTATGGAGCCATCTGAAGGAAATCCTGCACAGGGAAGATTTTTTTTTAAAGAAATGTGTTTATATGTGTTGGAAGCCGCCCAGAGTGGCTGGGGCAACCCAGTAAGATGCGTGGGGTACAAATAGCAAAATTATCACTAGGGAATGGGACATCCCTGTTTTCATTGGAGAAATGTTGGAGGGTATGTATCAATGAATGAGGTTTCTGTTATTCTGTTAACGCGAGGAATAAACAGTCCGGCGTTTAACCCCACAAAGGATATAACAGAAGCTGCATCCAGTGTTTGTCTTGCTTTGTAATGTAGAATCTGCTGGTTTTGTTCCACAACATGAGTGTGCGCGCGCCTGTATGTGTGTTTGACTTGAGTGATGCATAGCTGAGTAGAGAATCTCTTCACTGAAAAGAAGAATAGAAACATTAGGTTTGTCTTTCATCTAAAGCTAAAGCTGCTTCTCTTAATCAAATGATTCAACGAAGTCATAATTCCGGGGTGTTCTTACATGAAGAATGTGTGGGGTGATAAATCTAGCAGGAGGGCTTCATTTCTTCCCTGTGTGCCTTCAACTATGCACAGCTACTTTTTTGTTTTCCTCAAGTGGTTTCTTTGAATGGGCTCAGCTGGGGAACAGAACACTTCAGAGAACTCAGACTTTTGGAAGTGAAAACGTCGCCGATGTTACTGAATAATTTTGGCGTATTTTGTGAGTTCGGCTGGTGGTTATAATAGCATAACTTTTCAAGGGATCCCAAGGTTGTTGTAAAAGAAGCATACTTCTTAATTGTTCACTGCAGCTATAGTCTGAATGTATGGGATCCAGGTAACAAGATGTAACCTGCTTTATGATTGGTGAATTGGTAGGCAGCAATTGAGTTCCAACCACTAATAACATTACTGTTTGGATCACCCCACTCCTACCCTTTATGTTTTAAACTGAGGTTGTGTTTTCCGTTTTGACTCTGGTTGTTGCTCTTGCAGTCTAGTTAATAGTTATTGGGTTGCTGGGAGCTTGCAAGAATGAATGCTTTAAGAAGGCGACTTGCTTTAGGATGTTGTTTGTCAGTGTTCCTTGAATTTTTATCAATCGCCTATCAGTTTTTCCTGAAGTTACGGTAAATTCTAATGTGATTTATGGGCAGTCCCTCTGACAAATTTCAAGGGGAGCAAAAGTAATTTTGAAATTTCTCTGGGGTGTTACGCACAGGATAGCAGACTCTCCACTCCACCTCTTGAGTTTTTAAACTATAGTTTGTGATTTGTGGAAATTAAAATCAATTTTGGCTGCTGCAGTTTTCCATGATTGTAGCAAGTTTGTTTGAGTAGACCTACCCTTTCTTACGCTGGGTGAATGTTGTTGTTGTTTAATAGGACTTGTAGGAATACATTTCCCTGTAATTTGATTCATGAGAATTGATTCAAACTAAGACAGTGGCTTTAACTAGTTAAAGCCATGGTTTTCCCAGTAGTGATGTATGGAAGTGAGAGCTGGACCATAAAGAAGGCTGATCGCCGAAGAATTGATGCTTTTGAATTATGGTGCTGGAGGAGACTCTTGAGAGTCCCATGGACTGCAAGAAGATCAAACGCATCCATTCTTAAGGAAATCAGACCTGAGTGCTCACTGGAAGGACAGACCCTGAAGCTGAGGCTCCAATACTTTGGCCACCTCATGAGAAGAGAAGACTCCCTGGAAAAGACCCTGATGTTGGGAAAGATGGAGGGCACAAGGAGAAGGGGCCGACAGAGGTCGAGATGGTTGGACAGTGTTCTCGAAGCTACCAGCATGAGTTTGACTAAACTGCGGGAGGCAGTGGAAGACAGGAGTGCCTGGCGTGCTCTGGTCCATGGGGTCACGAAGAGTCGGACACGACTAAACGACTAAACAACAACAACAACAACAAAGACAGTGGCTGGCTTAATTTGTTTGCTGTGTGCACAGGTGTGCCACTTTGTATTTAGGGGACGATGATAGTTTATTCTGACTTTCACAGACTTCTTAAACTTTGCCCTTCCTCTTTGTGGGATCTGAGGTTTACCACTACATCCGTTCCCATGTGCATGCAACTATAAAGAAACAAAGAAAAAACTGCCCAGATCATGTGGAAGTGGACTCAGGTCTGTTCTGTTGGAGCAACTTCATATTGCAATCCTATTTTAAATGTGTGGATGCAATGAAAACATTCTGGCGAGTCATTTAAATTTTGCATCTAGTAGTGACTCTTTAAGATACGCGCAACAGCGGTTTCTTCCATGCTAAAGAATTCAGGATACAGTGCCTTGTAAATAAAATACAGGAGTTTTTATCAGTATCTGATCTGATGTCAGCAGTAAATTTGGTTAGAGAACTCATTGTATTTTGTATGGCAAGATAAATGTTTGTCTTCTAAAAATGAGTACCTGCACATTCATTTTATAATGGGAATTCTCCCATGGGATTTAACTTTGGTGAATTTCTCAGAATTCTATGAGCCCATTTTGAAAGACAAGTCATTTCAGCAACTGACAGAGCCCTGGCTAAAATTCAGCCTCCACCCTGGTTTTTATGCTGGTTTTTATGCTAAATAATGATAAAGTGTCTTTATCAAATATCAAATAGCAAAGGCCAGCATGCATACTTCTGGAAACAAAGCTTTCTGAACCCCTGTGTCTTTTTACTTTACTGGCAAATAACGTGGAACGAAATCTGGCCTATGATACTTAATACTTTTCCTTAAAGTGTGTGCCAACATGGCTTGCCACCTAACTGATGTGCTAAACAATGGTCATAAACTTATTCACTCATGGTATGTACCCTGTTCCTGACTTCTGGACTGCCATATACCATATTTTTCGCTCTATAGGACGTACATTCAGATCATGAGATCTTCTCTTGATAGGGGCAACAAACCCAGGTTTGCCACAGAATAGTCACTCAGGAGTGAGCTGTAGCCAATTTCAGTTCTGGAAAATAACACATTCTGTTTGGAATGTTACTTAGGTGTATATCTAAGAATATTTATATTTACATTTATCTACTCACACGACCGTATTTTTCCGTCTATAAGACGCCCCCATGTATAAGACGCCCCCTATTTTTGGGGACTCCAATTTAAGAAAATGGGGGGAGATAGACCCTTGTATAAGATGCCCCCTAATTTTTGACATTATTTTTTAGGGGAAAAACCTAGTCTTATGCACGGGGAAATGCGGTATATGCTCTTAAAACGTATACTCCTAAAAATGAAAAACGTGAAGAGCTTCTGCAACAGTTTGTCATGGTGATAAGCAATTCCAAAATATTAACTGCAGGGTCAAGAGCTGGTGTAGCTTTATGCCTAAGGTGTGGAACTGGAGAATCCCCAGGTTGAAGCCAGTCTCTGCTAAGTACTTACAAGATGATCTTTAGCAGGCCATTATTCTCTCAGCCTTGATGTTCCCATCCCACCCGCTCCACTGCTACATGTGGATAATAACTGATGTCATTAGAATCATAGAACCATTGAGTTGGAAGGGACCCTGAGGATCAACTAGTCCCCCCCCCCCCTGCAATGCAGGAATATGCAGCTGTCCCTTAGGGGGATCAAACCTTCAACCTTGGCGTTACCAGCACCACACTCAAGTGAGCTAACCATCTGAGCTTTATAGGTTTGTTACAAGGAAAACAGATGGCATTTGTGAAGTGCTTTGAACACTTTACAGTAAAGAATTGTGATTAAGAAGGAAGTTTTAGCGATCTGTTTTAGCTAAGTATGGCACTCTTGTGGCAGAAGCAGGGAAAGTTCACGAGGGCCCATTTATTCATGCCTTGACCCCAGACAAGTAGTGCCTCTGCTCTTCATTGTCATCAAGGATTCCTCCACACCAAAGTGTGTTTTGTAGCACTAAGACTTACCATTTGTAACGTTGAGTGTAGAATTCTGGAAACCTGTCCTCGAAGTTTGACAAAACACCTGAAAATAAGGTCAGTTGGAAGCAACAGGACTGGCTTCAGCCAAAGGACTAAGAAAGGAGATAAAGTTTACATTTCCCCCCAATGTTTTAGATTTAGTTTTTTTTGGGGTGCGGGTATTTTTTTTCTTCAGGGATAGAATACAGCAAATGAAATATTTGGGGTTTTAATCTTTGTGATTCATTTAGCTAAACAATTTGGACATTGACATTGCAGTAAGCCTACAACGTGTGCGAGGGTTATGTTCTGGGAATCATGCCTAAAGCCCAAATCATGTATAGTCAAAACACATTGGGTGCAGTGGTGGGTGGGATTGGCAAATTCTTTCCCCCCCCAGACACCAGCCCCATTTCTGCCCCCCCCAGCACATAAAACTGAATGTGTGCAAGTTAAATGCACATAAGTTTCAGGTATACTGTATACTGTAGCAGGGGTCAGCAACCTTTTTAAGCCATGGGCCGGTCCACCGTCCCT